ATACTCGCGTGACGAGGGCTCAACGATCTTGAACCAGAGGATTCGTAAAAGCGTACGCGCGAGTTTTTGAGTGTATTTAAGGACACGGCGAGCACGCGGTAACGCCCGCAACATGCGGCAAATGGCGCGGCAAATGTCTCACAGGCTCGAAATCTACCGCTAAATTTACGCGAAGCAGGAGAGGAGGTCCATACGAAGATCCACGCGAAGAGAACGAAGTAAGAACAGCTCCTGCACTTCTTGATGAAGAAAAGAGCAAATCATATTGAAGCACGAAGCGCGGAGAATGTTTTTGCGTGGCTATTTTCCCGTGTAAGTCTAAAGTAAAGCGAATCTTAATGATCGTACGCGACTGCACAAGTAATCTCGAAGATCTGAATGTTGAACTTCGAAACATAAAGAAATTGGCAAAATGAAAAAAAGAAGAAGAAAAAAAAAGAGAATTAGATATGAGAGACATGTAATGATTATGATCATTATTATAAATATAATAATTTAAAGCTCCTGAATATAAGTATAATAATTTAAAGCTTCATCAGAAGCAAAGAAAACACAATGAAAATTATTGCACAATACATTAAAATAGAAATATTTTTTAATAAAATAATATTTGCATTTGATAGAGTACATTCGTAAAATATACTAAAATATGTATACTGAATTCTCTTTTTGTTTCAAAATAAAATCATATTTATCTTGATTCGACAGCTGTCATGTAGCTTGTTTCTTTTTTTAGTTAGACATAATTTAATTTCAAATATATTTGTTAACTACCGAAACACAAAAGGAATTTTCGGTATACATTTTACAAATAATACTATTCTATTCAATTGCAAATATTATTTTGTTAAAAAAATATGTTTTAATGTGATTTGCCAGAATTTTCTTTATGTATTTTTCTCGTTTCACACGTCACAATCCAAGATGGCTGCAGTGAGTAGAAGCTTTAATAATATAGGACCACAAAGAAAATTTTTTGAGAGCCAACTCAAAATAGATGTTTCTTATAGATTTCGAGTCGCTGAATCCCAATTCGTAAACCGTTTTGCTCTATCATGTCAGTTTTTCAGATAATCAAGAAAAATGATGGAAAAATCTATGAAAATTAAAACATTTGAGGAAAGAGCAAAAGTAAATTTAACATTAAAATACAGTCACAGAATTGATTTAAATATATTTTAGTAAATTTGACAAGTATAAGAAACAAAAAAATTTTGATTTATTAATAATGTTAGATATTATAGCCAAACATGTATAGAAAACAAATCGGTGTAAAACATATTATGTAACAAATAACCGATCTGCGTGAGCTATGAAAAATTTTTTCATCTCCAGAAATAATTATATCGTTGTTACTTTTGGAAGGTATATTAGTCACAGAGTTGAGCACAAAGTACATCAGTACGAATTTACGCGACTTGTATATAGACTATAATGTCTATAAACAGCGAAGCAAAATTTTTGCTTCTTAAACTTTATTAAACTTGCTAAAATATATTTAAATCGATTCTGTAAGTAACCGCATTTTAATGTTATTTACTTTTGTTGCAATTTCCTTAAATGTTTCAATTTTCACAGATTTTCCATCTTTTTTCTTGATTATATCTAAAAAAATAAACGTGATGGAACAAAACGGTTTACGAACTCGGATACAGTGATCCAAAATCTATAAAAAAAAATTTACTCTGATTTGAGCTTTTCTCCAAAAAATTTTTTTGTGCTCCTGTGTAACTAATTTTTCAAAAGAACAGATTAAATAAGTCTAGTTTTATATATATATATATATATAAAGTTTCGAAATTAAACCGCAGATTGATGATTTTGATTTCGTTATATTTACAGAATAAACGTACACTTTACGTTTATATGATGGAACACTTTAATACATAATTGGAGTACAATATTTAATCGCACGTTAAATTCCATGTATGTACGCTATATAAATATGGTTCGCTATTAACAGCGAAGTTACGGCGCTCACGTACATACACGCACACAGCGATGTTATTATCGGATGGCTTTTCGCGAAATCATCGTCGCAAATGCAAACGACCGCGGTGAGGCAGACTATAGAATTTGCGTGCGAAAGGATTGAAAAATTGTCAAATAAACGTTAAACGAAGTCGACAAGCGCGTCGTTAAAAATCATCACTGGCGCAATGCGGAAAACACGGAGTTCGTGCGTCGGCTTCCCCTCTCTCTCTCTCTCTCTCTTTCTCTCTCTCTCTCTCTCTCTCTCTCTCTTTCTCTTTCTCTTTCTCTTTCTCTTTCTCTCTCTTTCTCCTCTCTTTAAAAACGCAGTGTTAATACATTAATTTTGTTTTCTGAAAAGCTCTAGAAAAGCAATATATTACAGAATTCCATTATTTCAACTGCAGGGAACATAATGTTATACCAGTACCTTAGAAACGTGCATAAATAGAAATACATATTCCGAAGAAAAATTCTAATTAACAAATTAGTTGCACGTAATAAAAGATATATTGATATAAATTTTTCATTAACAGATCCTTTGATCAATTTGAAATCGATGTCCCTGCTATTATTGAAATTCCACAATGTACTATATTTATCTTTATCGAAAGGACATAACGTATGACATATTTTCTTTTTATTGGTCCTTTTATGCTTCCTTTTTATCACTTCTAATTTAATATGTGGACCACGTTGGCGTCGCTAATTATGAATCCCAAGCACATATTCGTATATAGCGATTGTAACGACAATTTCGTGACGATAATAATAATAATAGTAAAGCGATATAATATAAGAGATTACATAGTATTTCCTCTTAATTTTTTAATGCACTTAAAAAATTGTTATTGTAGAAAATATATTTTTTATTTAAAGTTAACGATATATATATAAGAACATTTCTTTACGTAAATTTTTTTTTCTTGATATTATGAATTTTTATAAGAATACATGACTTCTCTTGATGTATAATATTCGAAAAGATTGTATGATGCGGACTTTCGAAATTAAAAATTAAACACATCTATATAAGGAACTATATATATATATTGACTAATTAGAGTATAGCACTGTTAAAATTGCGCAAATAATATTGTAAAAAATTGTTTGAAATATTCAATTCTTACGTTTTGTGCGAGTGTAAAGGACTCCGCATAATAAAAGGAACAGAAAACAGAGAATAAAAATTTCAACTTATCAGAAATCATGTATTGTGGAATACACAGTTTCTAGGTTGAAATTTGTATTCTCTGTTCTCTGTTTCCTGTTCCTTTTATTGTGCGGAGCCCCTAAAGGTTCGTCCTTACTGAAATGGATCAGCGTACTGGCTTCTTCTTCTATTTAAAAAAAAAAAAAAAAGAAACTAGTATCGGCATGATTGACTTGAGTGAGAACGAGCCTTAAGGAAATGGAATTGTCTTATCGATCATGCATTACTGCCGTATAATTACGGTAAACCACAAACAAACGAATGTTCGCCATAAAAGCCAATTAATATCATAGTGCCACTTACAAACACATACCTTTCTCGAGCGATTGAAAGAAGCTTTATATCGGCACTGCCGACCATCATTCATACATGCCTGTGGGAAAAACGTATACGAACGCGGAGGAATTAGCAGCTCGATATCGAACATCTAATTGGCAGATGATTAGGAATAAACGAGTTGTGCGCCATGACGATTTTCTTCTCATATAAGAGAGAAAGAAAAAGAGAATACGCGTGTCCGTTTTACTATCCGCCTAGCAACCAACTGCTCGTCGAGCCTGTCCGATATCTCGAAAGGAATATAATCGGATGACGAGCACCGTTAGACAGACACAGTTGTATACACACATCAGAAAGTAAGCAATGCGACGGATATACGCGATCTTAATCCGGAAACGCGACGTTGTGATACGACCGCTGAAATGAAAGATGATTACGATCGCGAATCACTGCACTATTAACAGGATTTCCACAAAACTGGAAATCGAGGAAATCACGGAAATGTCAGGGAAATTGAAAACGAAATCAGAGAAAAGTAAGGGAATTTTGCAAAATTTTCTGGAAAATTAAAATTCTTGGTTTTAAAGAAATTTGACATACACAGTTTTGGAATACTATCAACTTAATAATTAAATGCAAATATTGCTATGTTAAATTGCTCTGCTGAATATTTAATCGTTTCCACAAATTAGGAAAATATAAAAAATTTCAAAGTATTATTGAAAACCAGGAAATTTTGTCTGTAAATCAAAGAAAAATTATGGAATTTTAGAATGAAGAATTTTTTACAACTCTGATTAAATTCATAATGTCGAATTTTTATAATTCGACATTATCAATTTTTCCTTGATTTATAGACAAAATTTCCTGGTTTTCAATAATATTTTGAAATTTTTTATATTTTCCTAATTTGTGGAAACGATTATATATATATATATGTCATTAATTTAATTAGAACAATTTAATTTAAAAAATATATTAAATTTGTTTCAAATGTAGTTTATTATTTATTAAATGCATACATTAATATACGTTAATATTTAAACTAATCAATTTGAAACTAACCACAGAAATGGATTGATTTTAACACACATGGAAATTGAAGATAACAAAATGTTATTTAACTCAAAGCATTGGATTATGTTTGTTCCTTTGATATCTAACAATGCAATACAATTACAAAATGCATTCTCAACCAAGCTTAGCATGCCATTTGTATCGTCGACGAACTATTGTATCCGATACATGATTAAATCTCGATATTTTCACAGAGATATAATAATTATTACAATATAATTATAACAATAAACACGTGTCTATCAGCTATAGTCGTACGCATTAATGCCGTTAGACTGATAACGCGTACCGAAGTATGAAGCCATATTTTGCGTATAGAAAGCTAAAAGGGGATTTTTTTTCATTATATGTCCCCACATATGTATGACTCATGTCTTTTTCTGTTACTAAGAATGATCACAGCAAAAAGCGTATATGGTTGCAAAATTTTAATTATAATTGCATAAAATAAACATCTTACCTTTTGCGAGGCGATTCAGGATGAGGTCCTTATGTTGTGCGGTATGAGGCTCAGGAAGCACCACGAGAAGGTAGCAGCCACTCAAGGGCGACGGTGGCGGATGTTGTTGCGGTTGCTGTTGCTGTTGAGCGGCCGCCTGCACGTAAAATCATTAGATTTATAAAGTACCGCAAATTCGCCTTCATTTTGATGCGAAATGCGGTCATTTCAAATTTATGCATTTATATATATGTACTTTATTTAAGAAAATGAAGACGTCAAGTAAATAAATGTTTTTTAATTGTAATTAGTTTATTTATGACAAAAAAATATATGAATGTTTAATTTATGTATATTATTTAGTTTAATGCGGGTTTATTTGTTGTAGAACTTTAGTGCATGAAAGTACACGAAGGGAAACGTAAGTACAGTTTAAAAGATGAACCACCATGCATGAAATCGTGTACTATGTGCACTTCCGCCATATTGACGCAACATTTTAGAAATCATTTGCGATACTTTATAAATTCAATTACTTTACCTGCATCGGTACGGAGGTGCCAGTGATCGGCGTGCTTGGGGATGGAGACTGCTCGACGTTAGTCATTGTGGCGCTTTCTCCTTCTCCTCCTCCTCCACCCTCCCCGGTAGGCTCCGTGGTATTCATTGCTGTAACATCATACATCATGAGAGAGTCTTGAGAAATAATCTTTTTTTCTTTAGTAATTTTCTGCGTGCTATTTGTTAATCAATATATCTCTTAGGTAGTTATATCCATGATGTAAAAATGCCAAGTATTTCATTTCCGTGGATGCCAAGATTGCACAGTTGATGATCAATCAGAAATTAGCCAAAAATGTTATAAGCTAATATAAAAACGTTATTAGAAATTTATCCCAATAAAAAATTTATCCTAAAATTATATTCGACTGCCATTATGCGCAATGTTTTATCCTGATATATTTTTTTCATAAGTATGTCATATATCATCAACGATCAATGATTAATCTTAGAAACCCTGTAATTATAACAAGGAATCTGGCAGAGCCAATAATTTATCTTACAATTAGAGATCCTTTAATCAGAGTCTAATTATAACAAGATCTGGCGCCATTTCTCGTTAAAATCGTGCGAGTGAGAGAAGATATGTTATATCTCACTCTGCAGCAGTGCGAGAGAAAAAAAGATATATGCTATCTTAAAAAATGTCAAATCAATAAGTTATTATGTTATGTCCAAACTTTGATTTTGGATATCTCTATAATTGATCTTAAAAGAATTTATTTTTGAATCAATTTGAACATCCAGATATGGTAATTTTGATTGAACCGGTGAACACGCAATAAGAGAAATAATAGTTATAGATAATCTGGTTATCGACTGTCTGCTGATCGCTTGATAGGTGAGAAGTTATTTCACCATTAGATTGTAGCTACTTTCTCATTTAAATCTAATCGGCCTTTTAAGCGCCGCCACTTAATCTTCTTTTCACGACGGCTATTCAATCATTGACGCGATATACTCAGCTTTTAAATCTTAAGCCAAGATCATAATACTAAGAGTAAACGAAAAGAAAATTACGTTATCATGGTGAGTCTTGCGCGAAAGAAAATATAAAATAAAAAATGACTCTAATATCTTCGTGAGATTTAAATTTTCATATCCCGTTAGGGCAAAGCTCCGGCTTAACGTTATCATGGCTACCACTATTCTTTATTAGTGTAGATATTACACTACACGCTACACGCATGCTGCTAATTGCAATTAACATATCCAATGCGGTCAGTCGAGACGAAGAACGAAAGCTCCAGCCAGTCGATTCGTGTTCCACTATTGCTCTGATTAAATTTACTTTTGTCGCGCCATCGTACTGTCCGTCTAACAAATGGCTCCGTACGCTCATATGGATGCTCCATCTGCACTGCGTACGAAAGATGAGAGATGAAATGGAGTCGGAGCCGAAATAGAAGTGGCAAGGGTCGAGGAGAAACTTAATGCCAAGAGGGTTGACGGTACACAAAGTGCCGTTCTGCCTCCTGCCTCGCTCCTCTTCCTTATGTCGAAATGCGGCCGTAATTCCTCCTCCATACAAACTGCTAGTCTCGATATTACCCTTTAATGCTCGCTTTATGATCGACGAACATATGCACTGGGGAAACTTTATGATGGATGGTCAAATCGTTGAAAATTCTCGGCAAACTTCTCCAGTCGTGGTAACACAATACAGAATTCAATAACGATTCTATTCGTTTTCATAAACCTGCGACTACAAATTTGAGAAGGAGGACCGATTCCACTTCAGTTCCAAGAAACCTGTACGATGTTTATTGTTAATACAAACTTTTGAATAATTCCCAAGAATAGCTCTTGGAGTTTATTTCTCAATGAAATTCAAGTATTCGTAAGTCTATTCTTCTAACATCTACAACAATTCTCATAGCAATATATGTCGTATCTGGATTCAAAAATATGTATATATACGTACAAGAATTCAAATGGAAATCAAATATTACTAGCCGGTCGCCAAATCGAAGATCTCAAGGCAAAGGCTGCACACGGGCGGCCCTGCGCACTTTTCTGCAGTTAAGCCGAACGTCGATGAGATTCCCGTCGAAACCCTACGAGAGGCCGAGCTTTTTCCGTAGAAAGGGAAATCAGTTTTCCAGGAAGGGGGAGTCTGGGAAGCCTCATGTATTCACTGTGGAATTTGCAGGTCCGCGGAATTTCCAATATTTTACGATCGCGGGTAGAGGATCGTTGGGAAACGATCCAACGAGGAGATTGCTGCCTCCTCGACGAGTCGGCGCCGTGGTCGTACCGCACGCACGCACGTCGACGAAGCCGGTATTGCGCAGGAATTACACGAGCCCTCCGTATAACGTTATTACATCCTAACGGGCTTAATGCGCAGGACGGGCACAATGCCGGGTGCTCCGCATAGTCCTTAGATCATTGATCCAAATTCGACTGAAGTCAAGACGAGGGGAACAACCGAAAGTCTTACGTGGCCGAATCACGATCGATCCATGCGAAATGTACTGTGGTCATGAGGGGATGATGCCGGTACCTTCTGTTAGACATCAGGATAGATAGCACTGTCGATATGATTTTTCTGTTCGTTTGCTTTTAACCAAAAGATCGAGAAGATATCGAGTTACGAGTTATTCCCATACCAGAAGTAATGAAGATGACCGGCGAACGAGAATTGATTGCATCCCGGTGAAACTTTCGGGACGAAACCACCCCACCACGTACCGTACACTGCAGTGCAACCCCTTAGTAACAGATCACCCCCTCTCGCGAGACACCCAGCGATAGCAGTGACGGCGGTAGTGGCGGCGGGCGGTGTGCCGACCGATAAAATCCATACGTCATATGGCAGGCGAGGAAATCGTCAGCAGAAATTTCGTCAGGATTGCATACGCCTCAACCGTCCGTCTGTCCGTCCGTCCGTCCGTCCGTCGTTGCTATCGTGACCCGGTTAAATGGTAGGTCGCCGACACGGCGGCGAATAGCGGATTTCGATCGGTTCGAGTCTATCGAGCCCTCGGCCTTTCTATATAGTAGTACTCACCTGGTTACTCGTTACACTCCCCCAGCAGTATTCCTGTGTACCACGAGCCGGGGTAGCCTCGAACGAACCGAATTCCAAGTTCCGGAAATATCCTGGAGGGCTGTTACCACTGCGGTAATAATAGGCGAACGATGACGTCGTGACTAACGGGATGTCCCTCGATGGAAAGGGATGTCGCGCCTTGGAGACTGTCCGTCTCCAAGTTGTCAATCCCTTCGTCTGCTTTCTCGAGGCCCAATGGGAGATGGAGCGGGGCACACCTCTCTCGCTCCTTTCGCGCACCGCGAAAAGTACTGTACCAGATGCAGAGATCGGAACGATTGAGAATGGAGATTAAAGCGAGAGGGGAGGGGGGGGGGGAAG